CCCCTACCCACTTTGATGCATTTTTCAAATTTCGCCTTGGGGCGGAGTTATGTTTTCACAAGGGGGGTAAGTTACACTTTAAAAGCGAAATTGGGCGATATGCACTGCAGCTCAAGGGGTCTTTATCCTTCTTTAAAAGCAAGGAAATTACCGCCTGACGCATAGACAGTGGCAATAATTGTGTAGCTAAGGATTCCTCAAAAACTGATAACAGCAGGGGAGAAAGTAGATCCGAAAATTTCTAAAAGAATTCTGCCGGGAAACCATCTGGGAGATTTTCCATTTTGCATGTTTTTAATTGCAAAACTAAGATAATTTTAAAACTGATGGCAGCAACACATCTCAGGTTTGGACATTGTGTGCCTCTGTGAAGCATGAATGTTGTCATGTTGTCTGTTACAGAATTTGATCTGTTCAGCAGAACTGGGTCCTCTTTGCTGGATGTTTTTGTGTCATGATGCATTAAATATTTTCAGTTGGTGAGAAGTCCTGACTGGCAGATCAGTTCATCAACTCTTTTACCACAAAGCACTTGTAACAGATGCAGTTTGTGGTTTCTTGATGAAATATGCAGGGCCTTCCATGAAAAAGATGCAAATGCACCCACATACCATCAGAGAGGCATACTATGAACTGTGGAGTAATAGCAGACTGGAGTATGAAGCATATGATGCCCATGGTTTACAAAAAGGATTTGAAATTTTGATTTATCTGACCACATAACAGTTTTTTAACTTAGCCTTGGCCCAAAGAATTGACAGAGTTCACACGGATATATTGCTGCTATCAAACTCAAAACAACCTTTGCTTTAAAAAATGGTTTTTTTACTTTATATTTTTAATATGTTTACAGTTTGCCATTCTGAATAAAATGTGGGTTTATTTTGCATTCATTACAGAGTGCAATCAAAAAAAAGAAAAGAAAAAAGGAATGATGTAACTTTTAAAAGTATGTGAACGTGTAGAGCTTTACTACATGTATTTGGACACGTACACTGATGCTGTAACCTGGAGTGTTTAGTTTTTGCCCTCTTCTTTGAGCAGGTTGTTTATCTGAAGTGCACAAAGAGCATCCATGTCCTCCATCTTGTCTCTAATCACTGTAATCTGCAGTAAACTGTCTTACCACTTCATAACTTTATCGCCAAAATAACAACGCTGGAAAATTACTTTTCTCTTGTGGTCCACATGACTCTTTCCTCATCTTTTTCTGTCTCACACAAAGACACGTTTTTTGCAGCAGCTCAATCAGCTTCACCCATCGGATAAGTTGGTTGGTGTATATCTACTGATGGGAGAAGAGAGGCAGCTGCTCGGCTGGGTACGTAACATAAGGGATTCAGTTACAATAGCAGAGGAAGTTCTTCGAGGAGTTCCCATGGGAAGATGGAGGCTGTGTTAAACCACCTTATCAGCTCTGACAATTTTTTTCAAACAGTCACGGCACATTGGAGCACTGACAAAGTCTGTCTTTGTGGTCATGGTTAGTTTTATTCTCATCTCCTCAGAAGATCTGCTTGTTTTTTGTT